TTCAAAACCTGCCGGAGAATATCCTCTTTCAAGTCTATGGGCGCAACGCTTTTCGAGATCTCCACGAAAATCTGTTGATAAAACACACTCCTTGTTAAAAGGGGATAATGTTTTCTCAAGGCTTGCATATAAAAAAAAAATCAAAAGGGGCTCGTCTGTTTGCATTGGCTGCAACAGATAAAGCTTCTTCGCAGACTAAACAAAATCAAACTAATTCTTCAAAAAAAAAAACGTATTACGCATTTGTTAACGTTTATACTCACAAGTTTGTTGGGTCTCGTTTTTCACAGAAAGTGAGTTATGCCTTAAACTTTCATCAGCCAGAATGCATCACCTCAAAGCACACTCGGTGAAAGTTCGAGCTTTCTATGTGCAGGCGTCGATTTTTTCGACTCGCTTTACGGCGTAAGGTCCACTGGGCCACCCTTGCACAGAATGTAGATACATACTTCAGACCTTTTAGCCATAGGTTTTCTCTGCCGTCTTTCCCCTTTTTCCCAGTCTTGTGGCATGCCTAGACCTCCGCCTTTCCGTTCACCTCCCCTCCGGTTGTATCCCATCCAGGAGTAGCTTGGTATGTACGGTAGTTCCTCCTCATCTCTAATGTAAGTTTCTGCTACCCCATACACTGTGAAATTTTCAGCCTCTAATTGTTCACCAATCTCCACCCACTTTAGTCTGTTTCTACCCCCCTGTGTGTCTATGAACCCCATATATTAAGCCGATTCGTTCTCTTATTTCTAGGCTTCCTCCTGCTTTCCCTGCTGCTCCTGCAGTGCTCACACTTAGGAGCTCCTCCCGACTCTGATACCGGTGTTCGTTTTCGGGTTTTATATTTTGTTGAATTCGGGGGGTAAAAATCGGGTGCTATTTTTCAAGCTGATAATCGGGGGAAAATCGGGTTTTTTTGTGGACACATTCCGAAATTCGTTGTTTTTTTTTTTTTTCGGGTTAAACTAACAAATGCACTCAATAAAACGTTCGGGTTTTTTTTTTTTTTTTTTTTTTTTTTTTTTTTTGTATAGCGTAATACGATCTTCGTAACGCTAACGCGTTAAAATTAGGGGTCTGTTTCATGCTGGTAATCGGGGGGACATCAGGGTTTTCCAGCTCCGATTGCCGTCGGTCGCTTCAAAGGAAGCACCACCCGCGGAATCCTCCTCTCCCTCAGGTGTCAACGAAAACCCCAACCGTTCTAGGGACAGACGTCTTCGATCAGATAATTTCACTATGGGCTAAACCTGCTAAGTTTTCCCGATCTGTTTACGCGACTGACTGGCTCGGACGTTGTTCGTAAGAAAGGTTAGACGCCAGCGAGATGCCCATGCTACCTGAGAGACCCTGCTGGGTGTCGACACCTCAGCTGTCGAAGGGGGATTGATAGTGCATTTCACAAGCTGCGTGCAGCAGGGCCGAAGCTACGTGGCTTGCCGAGGTGGTTCTACCTGCACAGCGGGGGGACGGAAATGTGTCTCCGAGGCCCCATTTACTCAGCCGGCCTCCGTAGAATGTCACGGTGAGTTAGGCGCGCCCGTTGGGCGGTTGGTTGAGAGTCGTGTAGCGTCCACAGTGCTGCACGCAGCTTGCGAAATGAACTATAGGTCACTGTTGTCCCGATGTAGGGTAGGTAGCGTGTGTGCACCGCAGACTTCGTGCGGCGTAAAAATAAATAGGTTGGCTTGGTTATCTGGTTTTGGAATTCGAGGAGAAATCGGGTTTAACCCGATTCTCCTGAACCATGCTCGGGTGTAAAAATCGGGTAAAATCGGGTTTTACCCGAAAACGAACAACCCTATAAATATGGTATACTGGTATATCTACACCGGTGCCCTTCGGGCTCTGCGGGTCCCCAAAAAAGCTGCAACATGACGACCCAGCCCCTCTCCCATTCTCCTGTCTGTGTTCCGACTGTGGTAGATTCCACCACCGTGTAAAAGGGCAGGAACCAGCCGCATAAACATCCCAGTTTCTCTCTTTCACGCCACACTGAAGTTGTCGGCTCATCCCCTTAATCACTCGGTTAGCATCGATCACCCACCTCTCTATGTAAAGAGACTGTCCCCAGACACGTGGGTTAGTGCACATCTCCACATGAACCCTCTCACTAACCGTTCTTAGTTCACCCAGTCCTGCCTTTTATATAAAAAACGTTGAGGGAATTACTAACGATCTTCAAATCTTTTAAGGTCTGCATATTTTGAGTTTTGGCAGGAAGGGCAACACAAAAATGTCACCTTCGCGTTGCCCTTTACCATACGATTCTTCGAGTATAGCACAAACTACGGGAGCACCACAGGAGCTTCAGAGCGGGTGCTGCATTTTGTTGCCTCTTTTGAGTGAGGATGCAGTGTGTACACCTCCAGTAGTGGGCGAGAGTTCCTACGCTGGAGAGAAGCGAGGACAAGCTCTTTCTTGAAATGCCTCAAGTCTTCTTGAGCTTCGGGACACAAAGAAACGCCAGTCTTCGGCGCGAATCCCACAGTTACTCGGCCTCTCATGCGTCGTGTCTGTTCGCTCCCCGCGCCTCGTAGCAGTGTTGTTGCAGTGGGGGGCTCGTGAAACTTTTGTGGGGGTTTCGGACTCTCCCAATTACTTTCTTCCCCCACCTTTCTACGCCACATGCTTCGCCCTCTTTGCAAATATCAGCTGATCTTCCAACATCTTGTACCTTTTTGTGCTAGAATGTTTGTTTATAGGCAAAACAACCACTAAAATTCAGTTTGTAATTCGAGTAGAAGTTACTCGGGAAAATTAATAAAGTAAACTACTAATTACCGCAATAAAAATATAATTGAAAGTTACTAAGCTACTCGAAAAAGGAGTTAAACTACAGTAACTTGAGTAGAGTAGTTGATCTACTACAAGTCTGTATTTGGAGGCAATGTTTTGTGCCACAATAGAACTAGATGAAGATCTTCGCGCAAAGGCTGGGTTTTTCTTATTCAAGGACCGATTTTGACAAAACCGACCCGGAATTTACTGAAAACATTAGACCATAGTCTTAGGTCGTGCGAAGTGGGCAGAAAGTTAAACCAAGATTCCGTTATCCCCTGCTACGAAGTGGGAGGTATCGCAATCATGTCTTACATTGCGACACTTCGTGTCGCTGAGAAGGAAAGACCTCTCTCTACTATTTATGCGTGCGTTTGAACAAAGGTCCAACACGCAACCAGGTGTGCAGCTCGTCTTCCCTCTCCGTACGCCCTACCCTTCCCCTTTTTTTTTTTTCAACCTGGGGTCTTTTTTTGTGTGCTCCTCTGGTTCCGCTTCTGTTCCTGCCTTCCCAATTTCGGCCTGGATTAATGCTGATGCCTCCCTCTTTCTTTACTGAAAATCCTCCAGCTGGACGCTACTTCTGCTTGCAGCGGCGTAGACTTTCCATTTCCCGGAGTTCTCCCCGGAGGGGGGAGAGAGAGAGAGAAGAGGAGGAGGAGGGGTGCTTTCGTCCCCTTCTCGCCAAAACTGGAGATTGAAGCTAACTAAAGCACGCTGGGATTCAAGTTCCCATGTATTTTGTCAATAAAGGCAACGTGGGCGTTTTTTTGTTTACATGCCACTACTAGAAGCTCGTTACATGGCACGTAAACAGCGTCTCGGTAAAGATCATGGCCTGGGCCCGGGGGGGCTCTGCCCCCCCCCCCCCCCCCCCCCCCAAATTTCACCAGGGGGGGCACGAGTCCCGGTGGCCCCCCGTAGTCTACGCCTATGTCTGCTTGTGCGGCCTCCCTTTTCTCTGCTCATCTGTGTGCTCTAGACGTCTCTTGGCGTCACGTTATGGCTGCCTTAATATCCCACCAACTTTACGGTTTGTGTTTTAAACTTCTTGAAAAAAATTTTTTTTTTAACAGTGTGGGTGGGACACGCGTCATTAAAAATAGAATTTTACGCGAAAAAAAAACTAGAGCAATATTGACGACGCGAGATTTATTTTAAATTCTGGGTGCAAAGATCATGACGTCATGGAATGTTCATACACTCTTTCCACCTCAACGAGATGGTCATACGGTCATACACTCTCTCCACCTCGACGTGATGGCCAAACCGATCCACCTCTCCTCAACGCGCCCGAAATGCCGAGAGAAAGCAAGTGGAAAGGAGGTGACGACTAAATCGAGTCTCGCGCCGTCAAAATTGCTCTAATTTTTTTTTTTTCGTGTAAAATTTATTTTTTAACACACAACCAGACTTTTGAAAATACATTGTTGTTTGTTTTTCTTTTCCGTGGCCCTTTAACTTGGTATCTCTCCAATTCCCTCTCGAAAGTGCTAAATCCTCGTACGTCCAATCTTTCTCTGCTTGCTTGGATACTTTATTCTCAATTCGCTTAGAAGCTTCTAGCAATTGCACATCACTTAAATTAATGATATCCTTTCGATTTTGAGTGAATATTTCTGCTTTTAATGTGCCATATGTGATCTTGATTTTCTTTCCTGGCTTGGCCAGTGTTGCCTGGTCACCAGATGAAAATTATCAAAATTAGTAAATTAATTATTGCAAATACTAGAGCTCTAAAAATCGCGAAACTTGGTGTATGTACTAACTAGCCTATGAGCATTCCATTTGAAGAATAATCTACCCGTCTATTTTCTTTCTACGACATCGCTTATTTTTTATCTTTCTCTCATACACATACTCTATTTTTCTTTTTTCTCTATAGTTGTTTCAGAAAATAGTACTTCTAACAGCCGCCACAACGCCTAGCCAAAGTTCTCACGAAACGAACATATATTTTTCCTTGTGAAACGAAACCGAAACTTAGTGCCTCACGGCACCTTAACGACATCTAGAGGGAACTTTAACAAGTAAAACCCGCAGTGTCTTTGTACCGTTTTCTAAATATGCCTTAATTAATCCAGCCTTTTTGCATGTAAAAAATAACACGTAAGAAATGTTTGTTCAATATTTGTTTTTTACTAGAAACATTGGTCACTTCTTGACTAAATCACCGTAACACCTTATACGAAACTAGTCGAACGAGGCTTCGCCATTGACGAGCAAACTGTTGTGTGCTTGTGTGTGTGTCGCTTATGGCCGTGACTCCGATGTGATAAGCTGTTTTGATTCCAGCCACAATCGTTCGGTAAATCACGGAGGTGATCAAGATGTCAGCCCTCTTAGCGCAGCTCGGGGGCAACCCTTTCAACACCGTGGTGGGCCAAAAAATAGGTGAGCGAGCCGCGAAAAGACCGGGCGGAAGACCACACCGACGATGATCACTCCCTAAATAATTTCGGCGTCATGGTCAGCTGTTTTCTTGGCAAAACATTTCGCTTGAACGCGACGTTTTCGTCCTGACTGCACACCGCCAAATATTTCCTTACAACATTCGAAACCCGATGGTCTTCACCTGTTGTAGACGCAAAGCGCAGACACCTCGTAACAATTAATTGTTTTCTTTTGGCGACATCGTTTACCGCACCTTCGATAACACACCCGCGCCTCACGCCGAAAAAGTGACCCGCTCTCTTGTTTATCACCGATCAAAATGTCGCCTCACCTCTCGTACGCATCGGAAGACAAACCAAGTTACTCTAGAGGTTATCTCGCGTCACGTTCGCAGTTGTGCACAGGGAGACGGACGAATCGTCGCTTTTCTCTTTCTGCTTCTGTCGGATGTACGGGAGTTGATTGCGTAACGGGGATTCGCGTTGCAGTACCGATACGATGCGATACCGGTACCGTACGCTATTTTTATTATTATTTTTTCTCTCCCTAAACACAACAGCAGCTTATGATTGACGTCCGTCTGTTTCCTCAGGGAAATACATATTACATTCTTGTTTCCTTTACTTTGTCACATGAGTGAACTGTACTGTGTTTTACGTTGCACGTAGTGCGTTACGGTAAGGTTAACGCACCGTACGGTACACCTACTTTACGGTTTCCCACCTACCGTGCGGTCGCGTAGGAGGGACCGCCAACAGTAAAACGGACAACGCAAGGGCTGTGCTAAAAATATGACAATCAGTTGATAGGACAGTGAGCCCTCTTCGCGTGCCAAACAATGCCCCGTCGGCGGTAGCTCTTGTGTGTATGAGCTCATCGCCAACTTCTATATTTGGACATTTCAAATGAAGCCGGTTTGGCAAAGCTCTACTTACAGACACTTCTTGCGCAAAGCCAATGCAAACTCGTTTTTTTTTTTTTTTTAGTCTTAAAGGCCGATGTACACTTAGCACTTTCCACTCTTACCCACCTCCTCCTTTCCTCTATCCTCTCCACTTTTTACCTTGCTGCAACTTGGCTCCCCTCGCAGCTTAGGAGTGGGGAACGCAAAGAGGATTACCTTCCCTGCAGAAAACCAAAGTTGTACCTCGTCATTTAAGGTTGTGGAGGAGATTAAAAAGCGAGCAAATATAGTCTGCAAGCTGGTAGTCTCCCAGACTAGTGTTGTGAAGATGAGTCTTGGGGTGCTTATTGCGACCGAGTGAATCAAATAACTTTCACTCTCTGGCTTTTTCTTTTTTCTCTTTTTATACTTTGTGTGAAACGGAAGTGCTATATAGCGTGGGGTGCGAATGGCTCATAGCCATCTGCTATGATCGGATGTGTCAGGCAACGTTTCTATTTCAACAGCTATATGTTCGGCACTTGCTATGACTTGCTATGTGTGAAGGGTGCCGCTAACATTGCTTGGAAACCAACCTTTCTATAGTGCCTTTTCTGTTCTGATGTTAGCCTGAGACTGAGGCAGGAAAATAGGAAGTTTCAAAGTAGAAGAAAAAGGTACAGTCGAGGATACGTCTCTAAATAGAAACGTATCCTCGACTGTTCCTTTTTCTTCTATAGAGACGTATCCTCGACTGTTCCTTTTTCTTCTACTTCGAAAGTTCCTATTTTCCTGCCTCAGTCTCAGGCTAACATCAGAATGGTTAATTTCCACCAGCTCACCTGCGCACTCACTACAATATGCCATTTCTGCCTCTACCGTTTCTCTCTATTTGTTAATATGATGCTGATTTATGTCGGAATATAAACTTAATAGCTTACTGTAGTCTGAATGTAAAGGGACTATGCATTTATTCAGATTCATTATGTATATTGCCTGTGTGCTCGCTTTCGAACTGATGTCAGTTTTTATTTTAACTATTACACTGTGCCATTGCACATCATGCCATCAGTGATTGGTCATTGTGGATTGAGACCCACAATGGCCTGGTAAATGTTTTAATAGAAAAGAACCAAATAGGCATAAATTAATATCTTAGTGTAGACTGAATGTGAAGGAACTCATTCCTTTAGATTTGTGTGTTACCAGGACACACTCCTTCCCACTCAAGTGAGCTACGCCATTTCAAATTATGTGATCAATCATTGGTCAATGTAGGCTGAGGACCGACAATGCGCACTTCCTGGTTGTTGAGTCAGGAAGATTACAGTCCACATATGGTTTGTGCTCTTTGACCCCCGCGTTTGCATTTCTGGTTTTCTCGTGATGCTCGCTTCATTTCTAGCTCCCGCTTTACCTGCTGGTCGGTTTTGAACACCCACTAGCTGTGCTGTTATCGGGATTCCTTCATGGCTAGGGCTTCCAGTTTTCTCGTGTCAGTTCTCGACGGGGTTCGACGTAGTCGTTTAGTATTCGCTTCTTTAGCAGGATAACTGCTGGTTATCGCTATCAATGCTGCAATTTTACACTTCTGGCACATCAAGCTTGTGATAATGTTGGGTAATGAAGCGAATTCATGTTTTTTATATAAGCAAGCAAAAGTGTAGATTCCGTGTGCTGAAAAACTTGGTTGTGTTGTCTTTGTCCCACATGTTTATTCTTTCTGTAATCCTGACCCGCACCAACATGCTCCTCGTCCATAAGTACCCTTCCTTTTATGCAGGAGCTGCCAGTGCAAGCATTAGGTGTCGCAGCAGTGTTGAAATTGCAACAAGCTCGACACCTTGAGCTCTCTGCATTTTCTTTCGTGTGTGCCAATGACAATTAAAGCAGGAGCATCTCGAAAGCGTCAGAGAAGTTGCCGGCAGTTTGCTAACAAACTCCAGAGAGCTAAACTAAGCTGCCTTGTGTTGAGTCTAATGGCGATTAGCCGTTAACGATGGCTGATTCATCATTACTGGCGTCATTGTTTACATGAGCCCAGCAGCTGCAATCTACAAGATGCCAAAAATCGATCTAATTGATGTGCCAAATGTTTCTTTACATTTCTGGTATTACCTACTTTTGTTTTCCACTGATCAGCCGATATTACAGCTGGGGTTACTTGCCTATGCTTCTTAACGAGTACCGTAAATGGTATGACTGCGCAAATAGGTAGGCATTTATTTGGTGGCTGTGTTTTTCTGTAATTTGCACCATCACATGTTTTTGAGAGGGGGGGGGGGATTTGTCTCATCAACTTTTATGTTTCTTATTCTAAAGGAAATGTTAGCCGATATCTCTGCCTTATCTATACCGAAATAAGCAGAAGTGAAAATTGTACTCGCGATGTCCAAAATCTGCAGCACTAGCTTTCATCCCCCATGCAGCTGAGCTGTGTGTCCGCCACTTAACATGTTCAACCGTCGGGAAACACTTTCTGTTGTTCCTCTTGGTGCGCCATTAATGTTTGGTGTTCCCAACATTAACCTTCTTTTGCAGAGCAAGCAACAGATGCTTCCCTGGCCTCTGAAAACTGGGCTCTCAACATGGAGATCTGCGACATTGTCAACGACACCGATGAGGGGTGAGCACTTCTCTCCACATTTGTTTCACTTGTTTTCATTTTGTGAATTACCATAAAAAAAATTGCTAAGGCCCACGTGCTGTAATCCAATCTCAAATAATTAAAGGGAAGCCACAGTCAGTCCAAGAGGACAACAATGTGCTAAGTACAAAACATGCCTCTTTGTAATTTTTTTAACAGTATAAAATTTGTTCTGTAGCTTTCGTCTGCTCTCGCTTTTAATTGGTATTGTAGTGTCTCGTGATGGCTTCATTTGAATGTGCAGTCTTCTCGGAGAATTAACCGACGCACAAGCAATGTAATGGAGTACACGGTGTGCTTCATTTGTTCATTATTTGTGACCGAAACGAGGAATACAAGCGTTTTTTTCGTTAGTAGCGAAAAGTGTATGAGGGAAAGGGGGGCGAGGCCTTTGGCGGTCGATGGTACGGGGCTATGTAAATTATTGGGGTCATGTTCATAATCTGCCTGCCTTTCCGAGCGCTCGACCCGTTTTGCTTTTCGTCCTTCCGTCGGCATCCGACGCCGTCATCTGCCGACGAACATGGCGGGTAAACCGGGAATGTAGGATGTGGGCTTCATGCCTCCCAACTATACTACCTACCTATTTGCAATTTACAGAATTGCAAATAGTGTTGGATACTATTTTCAATTTATGAAATTGCAAATAGTGTTCCATACTATGTTCAATTCATGAAATGCCAAATAGTATAGCACACTATTTTCAACTTACGAAATTACAAATACTATTGCATACTATTTTTAGTTTACGAAACTGCAAATAGTGTATTGCATGCCGTTGGCAATTTATGAAATCGCAAATAGTAGTATTGCATACAGTTTAAGGTAAGCAAAGCTGGACAACGCCTGAGAAAAGACTGTCCTCCGAACACTTGGAGCTGAGGAATTAGGGTAATGTGTCGTTCTTACGAAACATTACTATGCTAGCGATTTCAGAAATGGAATAAATGAACAGGAGTGCCCGAGACATTCCGAAGCCTTGGCTAATCCCAAAGTTCAAGCAAATTACGAACAGCGTTTTAGGAAATTGTATGTTCCCTCGTGTTTCACTGAAATTTTTTGAAAGTCTTGTAAGTTAGCCTTGAAGGGACGTAAAAGAGAAATTGAAGTGGTGGTGTTCTCGATGGTGTTCCAACTGTGATGTATTGTCATGCACAATTTTCTTTCTTTTCTTTTTTGCTGTTTGCTAGTGCTATCATTGCCACCGTATTGGCAATATTTCTATCATGATGCTGAATGCCTGGCCATGCACACAAACGCTCGCTCGCTTATGTGAGCGTAGTGTGCGTCCATAACAACGAGGTAGAGGGCCTTAGAGCGATAAAGTGGCAGCTGAAAGTGACACCCAATGGGCCGTTGCCATGTTGCAAATGATTTACGACTAGATGCATGACCTTTTAGTTTTACGTCTAGATTTTAACAAAGTACCGCCCACAAATAATTGCTTATTGATCTTTAATAGCAGTACCAACGAGATAAGTTATGTTTCGTTAGTTTTAAGTCCAAGATGTGCTCTTTCAGCAAAAAGCTCGGGCAGCTTCGCAATGCCTCCGCTAGATGCCGTCAGCTGCGGTGCTGTATTTTGGGTTTTTATCGGAGCTAGACACTGATTTCTGGGGCTAGCCGTATTGAAAAAAATAGTTTATAATGTTTTTTTACAGCGATCGCAATACAAATCTCGGCTCAGTTTTGCATAAAAGCCTCAGTATTTGGTACAGTCACGTGACTAGTGGTCACAATTGTACAACATGGCAGTAGCCAAGTGTACAATTGCCTGGTGAACGAAATACCAGTTAATCGCTCTAAGCCCCTCTACGTTGTTGGTCCATAGCCATGCCCAATTTCCCGTAGATATGGCCAAGCCGGTTTGCTAGGTTATTTTCGTCTGCTAGTATGCATTTTCGACAACTACCATAAGTAGTTGTCGAAAGTTTCACTTCAGAAATGCGGTAAAACTAATCTTCTTAGACGCTAGGGGTGACTCACTGAGTCTACCGTAGATGTATCGCGCGCTCAGGGATGCTGTAGTTTTTGCCATCTGCTGCAAAAGCGAGCAAGCATCTGGACTTTTGTCTCGTGCCTACAAAAACATGCTGGAAACATTTTAATAATAAAATAAACAAGTTCTAAAAATATGTTGTCAGAAACAGCACTCTAAAATTTTTCGAAAGCTCTTTGTCATATCGAGAGTGAGACAGGTGATTGATGTTGAGGTTAAGGTCAAAGCCATTCCAAGGCAAAGTTCTACAACTGAGTTGATCTGACAGCTTTGCTCCAGTCAGCATTTTGAAGAGCTCCACAGTTTCTTGTGTGCTTGTGTGCCGTGCACTTGCACTACTTTCTTTTTCTGTGCGCATTTGCGGAAACTGTGTCTGCCTAACTTTAGACCGAGCTGATGCTTTGTTATGGGTATGTTTAGAATAACTTTTCACGAGTAAAGGTTTTCCGCCTGTACTACCACTGCACGTAAACCCTGACCTGTCGAAGATTAGATGCATAGCAACGAACAAAAGGTTAGGGCACAAACAAGCTGGTGAAGGTTTAACATAATTTAAGACAAAACCTCGAGACTGGGGAAAAAACGAAGGTCAACACAACACACAAAGTCTCAAACACAGCTGAATTTGCTTTTACAGGAGTTTGTGTTTATACAGTCCAATCTCGTTAATTTGAACTCAGGGGACCGAAGATTTGCTTGAATAAAGCAGAGTTTGAATTATCAAAAGTTTCCTCCCGTAGAGAATCATAGGATGGGACCTGCATGTTAGTTTGAACTATCTGCAAGTTTGAATTAAGAGGGTTTGAATTAACGAGATTCAACTGTATAGGTTTTCGGTGCCTTTACAAACCAAAACAAAAGAGAAAGAAAGTGAGAACACTCTTTACACAAATGCATAAAAAGGATTGAACTCAAAAGACAACTTGCACAGGACTTGACACATAGCCGAAACAAGTAACAAAAGAAGTTGGGTTAAACCTTAAAGGCCCGTTCACACTCTTGCAACCGAGTATGACCGAGAGAGACCAAACCGGTTTTTAAGCCTCTTGCGATCTCTTAGGACCAGCTCCGCTCAGCGCATCCGGTCCCAAGAAGTCGTTCTCGGTCGTACTCGGTCGCAAGAGTGTGAACGTGCCTTTACCGTTTCACCTAAACATCCGGATAAAACACACCAAGAAAATTAGATCAACCCTTTCCCAGAACAAACAACAGGACCATGGGCGAAAACCTCGAACATTTAAACACCCGAACAAACACAAAACCAAAGAAAGGGCACAACAAGATAGACGGCTAGGGCCAACAAAGGAACATGCCCACACTTAGGTTGAAGGGGTGACCTTGCTCGAAAACAAAACCAAACGATCAGATTTGTAGAAATCTTCTCAACTCTGTATCTAAAGTAAGGGATGAAGTATTTACTGCACTACCATGATTTATGACCGTGAGTGACTCTTTCACTAACCTTTTGTGATCATCTTTCTTTGTTAAGATAACTGGGGTGGACTGCCAAAGCGGTACACAATTGTTGCACTCAATAACATGTTTTGACAGTTTTGAATAGGGGTCTTTGTAAAGCAACGTTTGTGTTCGGTTGAACGGTCATTGAGGCAACGCTTGGTTTGCCCTATGTAACAGAGGCCACAGTCAAAAAGGAATTCTGTAGACCACACCCGACACATAATTGACATTTGTGTTTTGTACATGAAGCCTTTGCGGAAACAAACGAGGTCAATAGGTTTGGCTTATAACCACCACAATTTCAAATCTGTTGGCAACTTTTACGGTATTGGCATGGTGTTTAAGAATAAAAAAAAGGAAGAACTACATGTTTGGTGGGTTTGGGAGCCCCCTGACTCTTCTTTTTGAAGGAAACGAGGTTAATAATTGTTTAAAAACATAATCTTCCGGATAGCCATGCCGCACCAAAACTGCCGAAAAGATGTTGTAGCAAGGACTTAGTGGAATGCAAACATGATTTCTTCAAAGCTCTGTTCATGGGGTTTCGGACCACCCGATGCCAGACTTCACATTTTTCGAATGACAGCTGGGTGGTTTCATTTGAAATTGAACATGCTTGAAAGGGAAAGGGAGGGGGGGGGGGGGGGGGGGGGTTCGATTTTTTTTTTTTTTAATATATGTAATGGCCCCATTTCTGGAAAGAACAAAACCGCTTTTCAAAATTTTTTTAAAAAAATATTTCCCTTCACAAAAAATTATTGAGTGGAGCAGAGTGAAAATCTGTTTTTTACTCCGTGATTTTTCTACCTACTTCTGTACGCAGGTACGAATACGGGAAGCATACAAAACTCACAGTAATTTTTTGTGCTTTTGTATGCTATTTGGACTATTTTTTAGTTTAAAGGAAAATACTTTTGTATTTTTGTTTATTGACGTAAAAAATGCCAAACATTGTCTCTTTGACAATCCAGTGACATCTTCAGAGCCTTGTAACTCATGAGTTATTATATTTGTCACTTATTAAATACTATGCGGGTGCAGCCCTATACATAGGCTATCAACAGGCATAAGTTTAGTTTCTTTTATTTTCACTGAATTTTTTTATATAAAATTTGAAATATCGTCAAGAATGAACTTAACCAATATTTTGAACCCACCTTATCGAAAAAGGCCATTTTTTTTTTCGTTCGCTTTTTTATTATTGCTGCCAATCATATTAACTTTCAATTGGCTTGATGCGATTTCCCCCTTTTTTGTTGTATCTTCTCTAGAAGTGATCGAAATCGCTCCCACGTGACAATGCGGTGACAACTTCAGAGCCTTGTAACTCATGAGTTATTATATTTGTCGCTTACCAAATACTATTTGGGTGTAGCCCTATACATGGAATATCGACGGGTATAAGTTTAGTCTATTTTAGTTTCACTGAATTTTTTATATAAAATTTGAAATATCGTCGAAAATGAAATTAATTGATATTTTGAACCCACTTTATCCAAAAAGGCCATTTTTTATTTCGTTCAATTTTTTAATGACTTTCAATTGACTTTCAATTGGCTTAATGCGATTACGGATACGCACAAAAAAAAAAATTGACCAAGAAACATTAGTTGTAAAATACAGGGTTACAAAATTTATCCCAGCCAGTCTAAGAACTTGCGTCATCAGTGACGAGTGACTGGAGGCCGACTGAGAATGCAACAGGGCAGTCTTCGTTTACCAGCTGTGACGGAAGCTTGTTCCATTCAGTAATATGAATGCAATATGAATAAAATATTACAATATTTGCAATGCAATGCATATATAAACAAGAAAATGTCTTACAACCTCGTATACATTGTGCTAATGGTACAGTTGCTGCTACTGTTGACCTACACCTGACCATAAATAAAATGTGCTCGTAAAATTTTATATCTGCTTAACCAAGTGAATTAACACACTCTGCACTATCTAACTTTGCCTTATTTACCTGATGCTTTATCGTACAAACCGTTTGGAGCGGAGGATGTAAGTGCTTAGATTAACGGAACTTTCATAATCATCATAGACTAGATGCACAAAAGTGATATGAAAGAGTCACATTTGAGTGAGCACTGCAGGTTTGGCCACTGGCCACAGTTAGCACATGTATTAAATTTTTTGGAACCTGGGACACTTGAGTATTGAGTTGTTGGTCATGTTTTATCTCGCTACGTTTTCAGATGAAGAAATGCACTGTTAATTGTGGTTTGCTCCTTGTTTTCGTTTGTTTTCCCGTTGGCCTCGGGACATTGGATTCACAGACCAAAGGACGCCATCAGGGCCCTGCGGAAACGGCTGACGCAGAACGCCGGCAAGAACTACACAGTCGTCATGTACAGCCTCACCGTCAGTACCGACCTTTCCACCTTATTCGCAGATGTAGCGGGGCGAGGGCGATGCGAAAATTATCTGCACTCTGGCTGTAGAAGTTACTTTAATCAAAACCTTTTCAAATCAATGCCTGTCATGGATTATTGCATAGGCAAAGCCCTGGCTGACTTGCAGATGATTTGTTGCATCATCCGCTGTCAATCGCCTATTGGACAGGATTGGTTCACGTGCACGCTCAACATTGTCATCAGCCGCGGACGTGGTAGGTCGTCCGGCTCCTTTATGGCTGTCACTTGTGCGTCTTTCCTTGAATTTCTGTAGCCACTCAAACACACTTCTATGCGATGAAACACTTTCTTCATACTGTGCACAAAGCCTTTCATAAATACAGGCATTAAACACACCCTCAGATTACTAAAACAATGGCTTCCCCCACTTGTGCGAATCGCAAGTAGAGCGGCCATTGCGTATCGCACCTTAGTCAGCACTGGGCTGGCTTATCACGTTTGAGCCTGCACAGCAGTGACCAAGCTGCTGTGCAAGTTCGAACGTGATCAACGGCGTCCTCATTCCAAAAACCACCGGTAAGACGGTGCGACCAACAGAAGATTTTAAGATAACCGGAATCCGGATCATTTTTGGACCATCCTCGTAGATAGCATTACTGTAACGAGAGTGCAACGAGATTATGTCATGCATGAAAATATTGTGGCGCAGTGAAGTGAAACCTCACTTGAAGGTTGCTTCACGAGGACTTTGTTTATATTTTATTTACACTTTTGTTTTGTTATTTACTTACCCTCAAAGTCATACAGTCATCCTGCTGGACCCCTTGGTGTATTATGACAGGGAGGGGGGTTTATAAAGAGTTGAAGAGTGAGCGTGGTGAATATTACGATGGAAGTAGTCAGGTAGGTGCTAGGTTCCGACCTCGTGCAGTGGGAACAAGAAGTGACAAGTGATGGTGCAATGCAGTTGCGACCTCGAACGGGTGACCGTAGTCTTGGAGTCAAGTGTGGTGTCTTCAAATAGTCTTGTAGCGATAGCTGTTACCGTCTCTTCCCGCCACTGGAAACGACGCCTGTTGATGTAGTTGTTGATGTTGTGGTTGGCAGTGTAGGTCATCCGTCGCCATTGTTGCCAAATCCTCAAAAAAGATTGCCTGCCGCCCACAGAACTGAACCTGGGTGCACCGTGTGCGAAGCGGAGACGTTACCACTGAGCAGCATCAACGACCTACTTTTAACTTGGGAGTCTTCTAGTACCCAATGCCCACTCCATGCACTCTCTGGAAAAAAAAAAAAAAAAAAAAAAAGCAGATAACAAATTGTTACTGTAGAGTTGTCGATGCGAAGAGCTCGTGCTGGGAGACGCACTTTCACGGATTCGAGAACAAGGAAGAAAGAAAGAAGGGCATTTGGAGCAAAATGGAACAAAACAGACGTTTATTTTCTTCAGAACGCTCTTGTTCACACACTCCGCGGTTACGTCAACTCCCAGCGACTTTGCCGAGACGTCTCGCAGCTATCGCTCTGACCGTATTGTAGATGAATGCAGGACTCAATTTTTTTTCTTCTTCTGGAACTATAACAAACTGTTCAGGATTTGCACTTTGTTGATTTTTATACTGTATTCAGTGAAGTTCTAGGTTGGTAGAGCTTCAGTTGAGTTAACAGTGTCCCCTGGACTGCGGAAACTGCTCCACATGATTACAGTGAGATTTCAGATAATATTTTATGCTGACCACACAAAGTAATTTCGTTACTTTTACATTGTTAGTTAAGGGTGATACGATTTACTGTAAAACCCCTTAAGTTTGCTAGCCCTTAATTTTCGTGAATTGAAAAATTAGCGCAATTTAAGGGCACGCAAAAATTTCAGCTCTTAAGAGTTTCAATGCAGGCCTCTGGAATTCACAAAATTTAGTGGCCGCGATTATGACCTTTGTGTTTGATTCGCGAAAAATAGGGGCTGCCAAAAATAAAAGGTTTTACAGTATATCTTTTTGTCCTCACTGGACGGAATGAGGAGGATAGGTTTTTTTTTTCACATGTTTACTGGTGCTAGATAATCAGTGCTTCTGGAAGTAATCTTTCTTGTTACGTAATTTTCGAGGGTGCAAGGATGCCGTGATATTGAAAAAATATATCACGGAAATCCTCTATTTACTATGTCGCTTGTAAATGTGATTCTAACCATAATGGAACTTCCTTTCTTCATTTCCTGGTCATAGCAAAGCAGTAATTTAATTCTGTGTCTGTGCATTCGAGCAAAGTGGTTTAATCGCGAGCCAAATGAATCTTGTTGTCTGGTTTACTTTCAAGGTCGGAGTGTTTGCGAGTGTGTCTTCATCCTTATCTCATACATATCTCGTTAACGATGAGAGCTTTATTTTCAAGACAAGTTTCCTCGAGGATATTCCCAGAGCTTACCTGCCTTCCGGTGAGGGACGTCCCCTAGATAATTTCAAACGTGTTTTCCGAGGAACCAAGGAAAGTCCATATTTCCCATCCATTTGCAGTTCGCTATCTATTTATACTTTTTCATATCAGACTTGCTATGGTATAGGCATTTTTCTTGGCATGAATCAGAGCGCACAAATCTGGATCATTGCAGTGTTTTAGAAGTCTGGACAGATGATGACTTGGCGGTATAAAATTTAAGTTCCGCTTATGGTGTCCTGTTTATATATTTTTTAATACTTATATTTTTTTGCTGTTAGTTTCTGTTTTGTTTTACTAATGAAAAGCGTCCACTCTTTTTGTTTAGCTTTCCTAATTGTTAGAAAATAGTAAAAAGAACTTTTTTTTTTTTTTTTTTTTTTTTTTTTTCGGTTTGGTAGAGGATGGCAGTTTCACCAATTTTTGAATGCTGCTTTGTTTGAAGACTTTGTTACATTAAGTTTTGGGGAGTCTTATATGCCAAACTAGCAAAGGACATCTCGCACGCCGCAATGAGGGACTGGTAATCAGTTCAGACCACTGGAGAATCTCTTGACTTGCAACCAGAATTTCAGTTACACGGCAAATAGCAGTGTGAGAGAAACGAGTAAAATATAAATAATTGAGCACACTTTTTTCCTTTTTAATCCAGTATGTTCCCACACAAATTGCCATCTTTAGAAAAGGATTGAATGAAAATAGCTGTGCAGTGTTTCGGAGACTATCGCTCCCCATGTTTACTTGAAGAGTTGGTTTGGTTTATTGTATTTTCCAGTCTATAACACCTCTGTATAAGCCGCACTTATAGATTTGTGCGGTTGGCGCAGTGAAACTGCGTTGAAAAGCCTGAATGTGTGTATTCTGATCTCAATGGTATGCATGGGTGGGAGCCAGTTTCAACATTCTCGTCGGCGAATGGAACGAGAAATATAACCTCTAATGCAAATTTGCACAATTAAGGTCCATACCTAAAAAGAAATGTGACGTTCAAACAGAAATACTGTAACAAAAAAAAAAGATTAAACGCAACATAAGCCAGAAAATATGGCAGATAAAAACCTGGTCAAAAGGCTTTGATTCCTGCTTTCCTGCGCAGGTTTTGTGGGACATTTGGTAATTTTTTGACAAGCTACCTCCCTTCCCAGTTTGCTTCCAGTTTACTCACTTTTACCGGTTCTAGTTCTGTCTGACATGTGGTGTTCACCATCGACGCAGGTGCTGGAGACTTGCGTAAAGAATTGCGGCCGCCGCTTTCACCTGCTGGTGGCCCAGAAGGACTTTGTCCAGGAACTGGTCAAGATGATTGGCCCCAAGAATGACCCCCCCACCGCCGTTCAGGAGAAGGTCCTCAGTCTTATACAGGTGAGCGAGCACAGCCGCAAAGACTTTGTGTTCTTTTTTTTTTTTTTTGACTGCCTTTGGCTACAAACAGTCTCAAAAGGCTCCCGAAGGCATTACAGAAGGTGTGCAAAGTACAACCAAATATTATTTTAGTCTGTGTTCAGTGGCAAAGTCTCGAAGAGTTCCTGTAGGCCCTTGCAGAAGGCATACAAGTGCAGCCATGTATTGTTTGCTCTGCACTGAGCAGCAAACAGTCACGAAAGATTTTTCAAGTCCTTGAAGAAAACATGCAAGGTGCAAGCACATATTCCTTTTGTCTTTGCTTAGTGACGAACAGTCTCGTAAGGTTCCTGTAAGCCTCACAGCAGTCATACACGTGCAGCCATTGCTAGATGCAACCACATATCCTTTTTTTTGTCTGCACTTGGTGGCGAACACTTTCAGAAAATTCCTGTATGCCTTGCAGAAGGCGTGCAAGTGCAGCCATGTGTCGTTTGCTCAGCATTGAGCAGTCACCAAAGGCTCCTGAAGCGCTTGTAGAAGGCAAGCAAGGTGCCACCTGTATCCCTTCTGTCCGTGCTCAGTGGCAAACCGTCTTGGAAAGTTCCTGTAGGCCTTGAAGAAGGCATGCAAATGCAGCCATGAATAGTTTGCTCATTATTGAGTAACAAGCAGCCATGGAAGATTCCCCGAGGCTTTGTAGAAGGAATGCTGGGTGCCGCCTGCATTCTTTTTGTTTGTGCTCAGTGGCAAACAGTCTCCGAAAATTTCCGAAGGCATTGCGTGAGGCTTGCAAGTGCGGTCATGTATCTCTTTGTCTGCGCTTAGCAAGTCGCCCCTACGCCTCGCCTCAGTGTGTGCACTCTCAATGTCATCGCAAGAAAGAAAAGTAAAAAAAGGAGGCAGAGCCGACGTTTCAGAGCAGTGCGGCGGCCCCTGCCAGGAAGGCAGCCAGGAAGGCATTGAACTCTTTGTGCCACTTGCATCTCTCACAAAACACAATTTTTCATGCGAAGGTCTGATTGATGGATTAAAATAAAGCTGCAAACTCTCTCATTTATTGCTGCAGAGTTGGGCAGATGCTTTCCGTGTCCATCCGGAGATGCAGGGGGTGGTCCAGGTATACAGCGACCTCAAGAACAAGGGTGTCGAGTTTCCCATGACCGACCTGGACACCATGGCACCCATTCACACCCCGCAGAGGGTGAGTAGCGGCCCTCGCCTTGACACCGTTTCGGTATCGCTCTCGCCATGTGCACCATGCAGGGCCGTAGCTTAGGTCAAGCGCCATGGGCCTCACTCATTTTAAAGCGAAAGGCCTTTCTTGCTCATGTTGGTCTGATCGCATAACACCACAATGTCACGTGACTTTAATATCCCCCGCTAAATTTGGCGGGGAAATTGATGTCGCAGTTTCGAGTCGTATCGAGAAAATGCATCTCCTATCAGTGTTGCGGAGTTGGAATGATTCCGGAATGATTCCGCATTTTCACGACCCCGGAATGGAATGGGAATGGAATGGTGGCAACGTTGAGCAGAATGGAATGGGAATGGAATTAGGTGCCTTTTGCCCGGAATGGAACGGGAATGAAATGGGCACAATTCTTCTTTTTTTTTTTTTTTTTTTTGTGTGTTTACGGTTAGCTAAATTGAGCCAGTCAGTGAGTCAGTTGCTCAGAAATAAAATGAGCAGGAAACTGCTAGCCCGCGAAGAGCCTTAACAGACTTATACGCCAACAAAATGCAATACAAAAAAAACAAGCGTCAAAGCAAAAAGCAAAGGGGGAAAGGGGGGTAACGTGGCGCCTTTCACGGACGCGCAGGCGTCGGGCTTTGATGGTGTTACACGAGAGCGAAACAAGAAACCAAGCACCAAGCAAAAGAAAAGGGAGCGGCAAAGAAAGAAACCGCCATGCACAACTCCTCATCGTACTTCTTGTCATGCTTTTTTTGTTGCTGTTGTGACGGTTTGTAAAATGCACGCGCTCACAGGCTGAGATCTGGGAGTGGAAGCGACTCATAACTTGCAGAGCTCTGATAACTCGTTGACTCGGGCGCCGTCGAAAGATGATCAGGTATTGTTTTTTTATAGTTCAAGGCGCGTTGTTTAGCAGGCAGCCAACCCTGCTGCCTTCCACGTTCATTCGTGCGCACTCCTTTGAAGTGCGAGATGTGGGTTTGCTTCGGCATTAAACCAAAGCGAGATTCACTTCCCTCTTCTCCTCTTGCGCTTTGCTCCGAGGCTTGTTTTTTTTTGTACTGCATTTGTAGTGTATGTCAGCCTATTACTTGGTCCTTGTTCCGATGTTTGTTTTCTGTGTTAAATGTTTTAGTGGGTTGGGGTTACAAGCAAGCTAGCGGATTCCCGCTCATTTCCTTTGACTTTAGTCTCCGCATACTTCGTTTCACCTTGCAATGGACCGCTGCGGACGCTACGAGTCCCCCAGGCAATCCAGCACCGTGAGCGGGACTGCAGGGTCACGCGACACTAAGAAAGCACTGGATTGGTTTCGATGTCTCTCGTGCTGTCTGTTGAGGTCCGTCGTAAGGTGAAGTAGACTATCGCCATTGCTCTTGGTGTGACCAAACTGACTAGACCTGCAGAAAGACCTTCCCGCGCCAGACGAAGCGCGACCGTTGCTGTGAGAGCAACTGAGGAGAGCTGGGTGCTAGCTGCCACTGAGGTTTCGACTTCCGTGCTCCTTGTCCTGGACCCTATTTGAGGCGGTGAGAAGTCAGTTGGACGGTGTTGATGAGGAAACACGGGGAATGTCAATTCGAACGGTGCGGTATTACCCCGTTAATTGTATCTTGCTGTGAAGAGATTTGTCAACGCTGACTTCCCGACTCGTCGCCACTATGCGAACAACCGACACCAAGGTAGAAGAATGAATCGGTTGGTACCGTCTGCTGCCTGAACCCGCCACTCGATCAGCGCAAAGAGGAACATCACAATTCGGACGAGAAGACAAGATAAATACAGATGGAGTCATGGCATCGTAGAAGACATTTTTCTACATTAGTCGCGAAGAAAATAAACAAGCTGCATGCTGAAAGTTGTGCAACAAAACTATACACGGTGCAGTCGGCGTATATCATCAAACTTTATTCGCCATCTGAAGAGGAAACACGAGAATGAGTATGCGAAGGGTGGAAAAGGGGAGGCGAACCAGCCAAAAATTGAATTAAATATGATAGTAAATATCGAGATTCGTAAAGCAAGCGTGTACTTGTGCATTTTAAAACAGGTTTCGTGACATGGTCTATATATACGGTCCCTGGTGCTGTGCCGCAGAGGTTGCATTTTATCAGAGGATGCGTTCTACCGCTGTGCATGGAGTCGCTTCCAGCAGTGTACTAGCCGTGTTGCTGTATTTGAAGAATACAGTAATATAGCTTATTCCTGTGCCACGCACGAACTGGATATTTTTATGCTCTTATCAAACAAGCACGCTGGCCGCTTATGTCTTAAAATTCAAATGCAAAAAAGTTAAAAAAAAGAAAAGAAAATGAGTGGATTTAAGTTTTGCTGTTTGTTCCGAGCCACGTGGTCGCGAGACCGATGTCTTAAACAAGCATTGACATATCAAGGGGCTTTCTCGATGTTTGCAGTACATTGTAAATAAACATTTTCTGCCACCAGCGGTCCACTTAGTAAAAATCAGTGCTTTTTTGAGGAATTTAGCTTTTTGTTTTGCAATTGTCTCTGCGTTTGATAATGTCAGCTTTATGCTGCTTATTCCGGCAACAAAATGTAGCTGTCAAGTGCCAATTTTTACGTTTATGAATTAAAGGAATGGAATGGAACGATTAAGCCATTCCAGGAATGGGAATGGTCTCAGTGTCTCCATTCCTAGGAATTGAAAGGAATTGAATTATCGAAAACTCTAATTCCCCGGAATGGAATTGGAATGGGGGGGCCCATTCCGCAACACTGTCTCCTATATACCAATAAAAAATGGTGCTCGTTAAAAAACCCTACCAAACGCTATTGCACCTTCGTAACGTTTGGCGGAACGTCTAAGCCAGGCAATCTTTTGGCACCATCGTCGAGTGTGGTAGCAAGTATGTGGCATGTCAAAGTTCTCACAACGGAAAGTGTTAGCAGTGCAAGATAATCGGTTCGAGCCCGTTGCGACCTGTATGAGCGTCGCACCCGCTCGTGTTCACATAATCGCAAGTGCTCAATGTGCGTCAAAGACCCCACGCTAGCAGTTGTATGCGCTGGTCGAATTTCCCATCTGCAACTGAGACATCGGATGCCCTTTGGGGTAACTTTCCTCTGCCTAAACTCCCTGCATCAGATTTATTCACTTAAGGCTGCGGTCCCACGGCAGCCATCTTGAACAAGGCGTTAGTTCAACCAATAGATGGCGACACGCACCCGGGTGGCCGAAACATTGGTTCACAGTGGGATGGCTCGAGCACCATCACGTTCCCCTCGTGGCCTTGCTCGCGCCGCTGCCAGCTGTGCTCAGCTAGCTCAAGTAGCGTGGTCAGGCTGTGTATAAATTGTTCTCTGATATAGGGAGATGCGGTCGGCGGTTGTAACGGGCTTTCGCAATAAATCTTACCAAGAAGGAATCAAATGTTGATTGCCGTGTCAATATTCTATCAAATAAAATTTCCTCTGCAGGAATGCACGCTCAGTAGACTCAATCTTCCAAGACACCAGTGGAAGCGGACGTCAAGTAAACTGCTTCGCGATTTACGGTACTTACCTCACCATTTTAATGACGACTAAAAAAAGGTAACGAAATATTATATTTCACGGGGTCCGGAAGATGTTGTAAAGGTTGTTACATTATCGGGCGTTCCCAGAAAACGAATGCCGTTGCAATATTTTCGGAAGTACAGACACACATAATGTTGTAAGTTCAGCTTAGGAGCAATATGATGAAAACCATCAGAAGAAATAGGAAGACGTTTATTTGCGATGAAGACGCTATGAATGAACGGCGCTTAGCGACGGCAAGTTATGAGCGTTCGGGAATTTATAAGTTGACGTGATTGCTAACTATGGACATGCGGACAATGAAGACCAGTTTTGTCGGGAGATGGTGTTGCGGTGATGACCTGATATCGGACGACTCATGGCAGACGAACAAGCAAGTTTCTTCTCAGCAAAAGGTAAGCGTCCAGTGTCAAGCACAACACGTGGCTACCGACTTTGTCGAAGTTTTGAACACTTACCGCTTTCGAAAAAAGTCCTGGCACCTGGGCTAACTTAATGGAAAGACTCGAAGTCTTCCTTGAGTCCAACGCCATCATGAACAGTAACTGAAAACGATCCACTATTCAGTCGGTGGGTGGCGAAACGTATCCACATCTGCGGAGTCATGGGCGATGCGTACTCTGTGGCTGGAAGTTGCAACACGATGCCTGCCACGACGTCCAAACACGTCATTGACGTTCTACGGTCTCTTTTACCTACCTTTGCCCTACCGAAAATACTTTTCTCTGATAACACGCCCAATCTCGCTTCAAATAAAATAAACAAGTTTTTGAAGAAAAAAAAAACGGCTTCAGGCATCACATTAGTGCGCACCATACCATCCTGCAACTAACGGGCAAGCGAACAGATGGTGTGCGAAACGGAAAAAAATCCCTTTTGAAGCTTACGGAAGAAGCAGTTCAGTGAAGAATCGCCAGGTTCTTGTTCCCGCAGCACGCGTCGGTCTCACCCTACACGGAAAAAACCTACCGAAGCAATATTCAGCGGACGAAGAGCCACACCCCTCGATCTCATGATACTATGGCTTACGAACAAAGATCGAGAGATTCCCAGATCGGGAGTAATGGCAGTTTATTCGGTCGGACAACTCGTCTACGTGAGGAATTTCAGCAGAAGTCTGGCCTTCCATGTAAAACTTGAGTAGAAAAGGCTCTATGTTGGTTGACCAGGAGGTGTCATCTCTCTGAATACGTTGGATATGAATGCCCTTAAGTGTAAATATAACTAAATCACAAAACTTTCGTTGTGTATTGTGTAACTTCCCTTGTATTTGATAGTAGAAGCTATGGTGGTGATTTGCACCTTTCACACCAGGCTCCTTTTTCTTATTTTTCGCCTCATACTCCTTTGCGGTTTAAGTATGCTTCAAGAATCTTTTGGAACGGGGACACTTTACGTCAACAAGGCCATTTGTTCCAAGTAGTCAATCAGGGAATGCTGCTAGAAATCCGTCCCTCATATTAACGAGT